TGGGCAAAGATCCGGGCCCTAAGAGGACGCAATTGATATCACCGGTGGTTCACAAACTGGGATCAGACGGCGCTGTCATTGCATACATCCTTATTAAACAAGAGGCACAGAAGTAAGTCATTTATCATACAATAAAATAATTTTCACATAAATTAAAATTTTTTAAAAATTATGAAAACCTTTAAAGACATACATGTATAATTATCAAATATAATGTCATTCATTGGTTTGAAATGAAAATAACATAAATCAGTGATTAATTATTTTGTGGTAAATGACAGGAATGGCAGTGTTTTGACCACAAGTAGTCATGAGACACGTGTTTGGCGTAAAAACAATTCTAATTGGCAGGTAATGTAACTTGATACAATTTATATAATTCACATTTGTAACATATTTTTATTATGATATCTATTAAACAGATGGTTCACTTCCATCGTTCATAACTTTTTTCATTACTTATTACCATAATTAACTTCAAACTTATTTAATTGGGATGAAAATTATGATCTAAGATATAAATATATAATAATGATAATTATTATTATAATTACTATTATATGAATTCAAGAAGTTTTTTATTCAACTAAAAGTTTTCAAGAATTTTTTAGAGGATATTATTATTCACTACAAAAAACATACTGTGCTCTCAAAACAGTTGACAAAACAATAGCTGTTTTGCTATACTTAACAAATACAACATGTTTTCAAATCAAATCTCAATTCATTAAAACTTTATTAAACTTATTCTACAATATCTTAAAACAACACAAAAGCTATGAAAAATTCAAATAAATTTCTTTCGCTTAAGAAAACACATTAAGAATGCGACGAATAATTAAAAATAAAATAAAAACTAACAAAACGTTTTTATAGACTTTATTATTGTTATGTAATTAGAAGTATTGATAATAATATTTATGTAAAAGATTTTATCGACTTATAAATTGATTTCACATTTAAATCCTTAAAATAATGTTTTGAATCGTTGGCCACCAGTTTTGCCGTCAAAAATAACCCGCAATTATAGTCTTAATCTACACTTAAACCAAAATTTTCACAACTAATTGCAATTCAAACCAAATAATGTGAATTACTTTATGACTTAATTTGCACCAAAAAATGATTGTTGATTATGGAAACACATTTATATTGAAAATCACTCCCAGTTTTAGTACAATTCAAACCAAACAAAAACCAATAATTTCCACCACTTATACAAAAAAGCATTTTGTCTCTCATATGCAGTAAATTATTTACCAAAAAAATAATTATGAAAATTCCGTTTATATATATATATACTGTAAATGAAGTTTGAATATCAGTTAATAAATTTAAAGAACTTACTTAAAAATTTACAAAACATTTTCATATTTAACTTATTATATATTCGTTCAACTATTTGAAAAATTTCCAAATATTAATATTAATAATAATAATAATTTATTCATTCAGACAAATATTAATTTATGAAACAAATTATATGTCAATAACATGTTTAAAAAAATTTTGTCCGAAGAAAACAAAATTGAAAACTCAATTTTCATCTCATAATTAAAAGGCAACAAAAAATGTATACATATAATGATTACATGAGAGAAGAATATATACCGTAATATATTTTATCCATTAATCTGCGAATTCTATGGACGTATAAAAATAAAGTTTAATTTATAATAAATATTAAATTGAATTAAAATATTAATATTAAATGAAAGCTTTGAAGCGATAAAAAAAACTAAGAGACGACTCGTGTATATATGAGAAGACTAGGAATGAAAGGGAATAAAAAGTCTTATCATTTAATTCAACGACTCATTTATAATTCAAATCTCTTTTTTGTGATACATTTTTAACAACAAAAAAATGAAAACCAATGTTGAATTCAATTAATAGTTAATAAGAGAGCGAATCAAATGTTATATCAAATAATTTATGTAATAATAAAATAGAGACACTCTTCAAGAAAAAGCAAACATCTCTTTTTGTCAACACAAATGACTTCATAGGAAAATGCTTTCAAAATACAAATACCACCACAACTATGATCTCCACATTTGGTCATCCGATTGGAGACATTGATAATTATTTGTCGATTAAAACACATATAAATCTATACTTATTAATGATATTTAAGACTAAATGACATGTAAAACAAACGCTGTTTTAAATGTTTTCAATGATATTATCATATATTAATTATTGTTGCAATTTTACACTTTAAAATATCTCTCTTTTTGCAAAGCAATGGATAAAAATATTATATCATAAATTAAATTAATTATAAATTGATATTACAAATTAAAATGATATTATAATTATAATAATAATTATTATTATATATAATGAATATTTAAGAAAACAAATTAATTATTAAATTAATTATAAAGACAAGTAATCACTTTTTTATATTTATTATTATTATTATATTATTATTTATGACATTATTGTTAAATTGATTATTATATTTGAATTTGTTTTTAATGAATACATATTTATCGTCACAATTAAAACAAATAATACAAAAAAGCCTTTTTTCAAACTTTTCATATCTTATTTACCATTGATTTCTATTTCAAAACTACTGTTTTATTGATTTGTTATTTTGTTTGTTATTTAAGGTTTACTCAAAGGGTTTATTGAAAAACATTTAATATTATTGTAATTCAAATGAATTATAACTAAATTTTAAAAATTAATTAAAATAAATGAAATTTTTGTTTTTTAGTTATTTTAAAATTTATTGTAAATTATGTTTAATAATGAAAAATGTTTCAAATAAAGAGTTCTCAGAAAATTATAAATTCTCTATAATTTATTTATTGCATAAAATATAACTAAAATTTAAAACTTAAAATTTTAGATATTATATATAGATATCTCTAAAAGTCTAAAATTGGTTAATGCATTTCTATTGGTAAAATAGGATGTCTGACATATTAGATATTAATAAGTTAATTAATTTTTAAGTAAAACAAATACAATAAATTGTATATTAAGTTATACATTATATTCTGGCAATTTTTGATATACACTTACAACTTACATGTTAGGTTAGGGTTTTGCACAAATACTTGCAGTTGCAATAGCCATTTGAGCCAGGTGCTCTTTGTAATCTAGTCGAGGGCATGGAATTTCATTTATTTTACTTTTATAATGGTTTGGAATTTATTTATAAAAATGTTATAATTTAATTATATTCCCTAAACATTAATTTTTGTTATAATCATCATTATTATAAATTATACTAAACATTACTTTTAAATATCGTAAATATAGCGTATATTTGTAGGTTTATGTGTATAATTAATTATGAAATCCATTAAAACTTATCGCTTCTCAATATTTATGATTAAAAATTTTCGTTAAAAAACTGCTTCTTTCAAAGTAAAAGTCTTTTTATATGAGAAAAGAAAAGAAGAAAAACTATATTAAGAGGAAAAATGATTCCAAATATAACTTCCATTAATGTATTATTATTTTTATTTATCGATTCCGTCGGGAATCGTCTCATCCAATGGCATATTCTGTATAAAAATAAAACATTTCCTATTCTTTTAACCACAAGTCACACACCTTTATAAACCATTGCTGTAAATATGCCTTTAATAATGAATTGAAATTTTAGTGACAACATTTACTTTGTTTGTAGTTAAAAATTATATATTTTGTGATACAATTCAAATATTGTAATCATATATATTACCATATCATACAGATTTGTGTCAAAACCAATTGAATCAGTCATATATTCTCTAATGAAAAAAAAATCATAGAAAATTATGTGTTTTTGTGTGAAATCCCAAAAGTAACACAATTTAAGTGAATTTATTATTACAGATATTTTATATGCAAAATCCTTATTTAGTTTTTGTATTCAGTGTTTGTTATATAATATTTATTAACGAAAACAGCATTTTTACTGTACATACAGTATATTATTATCTCCAATAATCCAATATTTTTATAATGCTTTCAGAAAACAAACGCCAGCGAAAAAACACAGACACAAACCAACGTTAGACTATTAATGCCATTTAATGGCTTATATTTAATGCATTAATCATATGTTGTATTTATAAACACGTCTATTATATAACTATCATATACTGTATAATATTATATATAACAAAGATTTTCTTTCGCTTGTGTCTGGCATTTAGTTTTAGACAAAAATTCAAAAGTACTCAAAACACTACAATTCTTAATCTATCTGATCATCTATTAAGAGATGATGCAGGTATTCATTTACACCATCATCCCACACTATGATTATGTTATGTTAGATTATTTTTATTTCTTGATTTACTTTATTTTATAACACAGAATCTATTTTATTTGAATACATATTTTTAGTACAAAATATAATGTTATTTGATTAAGATATGAATGCAATATAAACATATTTTTAGCAATTTATATCATTAGTGTTTAAGAATAGATTCCTGCGATAATTCTTATGTCAAGAAAAGTAGTTTTTATCAAAGATTTTATTTTATTTCCAAAAATATCACACAATTGTTTGTCCGCATGTTATCATACAGTATATATTGGTAAAACAAATATCAAATTTAATTAAAAATATAATTGAATATAATATGTATTTTTAGTACTTTTTACCATATTATTTCATTGGGCAAATAACATAGCCTAGCATAGTATCGCATACAACTCATTCAATACATGGACAAGTAAGTGAAATAATAATTCAATTATTAAATTTTATATACAGTAGTACTGTATTGTTATTTATGTACAATGTTTATAGTATACATTTATGGGCTGGAAATTCAATTTTGTTGACATATATTTTTATAATTAAATCAAATTCTCATATTTTATGTCTAATTCTGTTTTTTGTAATTTAGTTAAGAAACCAATTGAGAAATAGGATTGACTGAACTAGTCTTATGCTAAATAGTGTTGTAATGTATTATGGTAAAATTAGTTCATTATAATTTAGAAATATATATTATGTTCGTAAATGAGTGATAATAAATGCTTTTAATATTTATCTAGTTTATTTTATTATATTATAATATGTTTGAAATAATCGACTCATTAATACAAATTTTTTGCAGAAAGTGTTTTTATAATTGAAGAAAATGCTAATATT